TATCCGTCGATTTATCGGTGTTATAAGGATTCAACGTACTTCAAAGCTGAAACTACGATTATTTTTTTTGCTTTCTATTGTCTTTTATCTCTCTGAAATGTGAATAACGATGTATTGGAATTATACTAGAAAAGATAAAACAGTGCACATTTATATTCTTCTAAGTGACGTGTTCGTTTGCACTCATTTTTCGTTTCTGTTCTTTTGCATAGTATTAATGATATAGAAAAAAAATAATTTTCTTTCTTTTTCCAAGAATACTGACTCATGATAGCAGTTAGTCAACTTATTTTTTCTCATTCCTATTTTATCTTAGAAATTTCTCGAAAAAGAATTTTAAATGTTCGTAAGACCTTATATAAAGTTATTAGTGATAGACAAAGTCTATAAATAGAAAAAATATACCAAATTGATTGATCAGTTAAATTTATTAATTGAAAATGGCTGGTACTTACGACAACGAAGAGCAAAGAATGGTCGATAGAATTAAATGCATCGCTTTTCGTGAAGCTCGCGATGAGGGTGCAGCATTTATTAATCGACAATGGATTGCACAGAAAATTCATCGAACTACTAGATTTGTTACTGAGTGGTGGGATAAATCATATGATGAATGTTTTGCTGGTTATTCGAAATCTGGTCGTAAACTGAAGTTATCAGAAGCGAGTAGAAATATCATTCTGAACGCCAGTGGCAAACAAGGGAAACGCTCTTATATTGTGGCGAAAGAAATTGCAGAAAAGCAAAACGAATGTGGTGTTCGAAAAACCATCAATAATTATCGTTCCGGAGAAAGACAAAAGCCTTTTCATGTTATTCCAAAACCGTTAAAAACAGAAACTCATATTTCTAATCGATTGTGGTTCTGCGATTGGTTAAAATACTGGACTAAAGAAGACTTTCTACACCTTGCGCCATCAGATGAATTTTATGTCTGGATCGTTCGCAGACCAAATTATCAAAATGATCGAGTCGGGGCAAAAAGTATTGAAGATATAGAAGACGATGAAAGATATCGTGAAATGGTTAAAAATCAAGTGTGTATTGTGATTTTTGTGATTTTTACTGCCAAAAAGTTACATTGGGTTATCAAAGACAAAGGTGAATCTTGGACGGGCCAATATTTTGGTGATACAATTCTAATGCAACATGTAATACCATTTCTAAAAAATGAAGAAAATGTTATCGATCCGGATGAAGTAATATTTGTCCATGACAAAGCACCATGCATGCGAGCAAATATGACTCAACATTTGCTTCAAGACAATAACATCAAATTCTGGAGAAATGACACTTGGTCCGGAAACTCGCCTGATCTAAATGTGGCTGAACATATTGGAACAGTAATTAAAAATGAAGTTGAAAAACAATGCTATCAGAAACGGAACATGATCGTTATCGAGGAGAAACTTTGAAGAAACACATTTCAGATGTTTTGAAAAATATGGAAACAGATATTGAATTATTTCAAACTCTCTTATGTTCGTATCCGTCACATCTTCGTGCTGTAAAGAATGCTAACGGTCGTCATACTGATTATTGATTATATTCACTGAACTTTAATAAAAATAAAAATTTCTTTGTCATATGTCAACATTTGAAAACAGATCTAGTTTAAATTGTCTCATAACTCTGATTTTCTGCGACAGCACAGCATAGTATTTTTGAAAATTGCTTCAATTTAATATAGAAAAGTTTCCATATCCCTTACTATTTAGTACTGCTAAATTCCGTTTTTTACGTGCTTTAATTTGGTATAAAATTTGTTATGATTGCTATTTGAAATCATAGCGCTACCCCTCTGGAATAATATTTTTACCCACCTAGTATAATCTTCATTTACACGACCGCCTATTTTTCTTTGTAAAGTAAAACTGCTTCGGATTGCAAGAGTGGAAGTAACAAATCAGAGTTTTGGAATTATTACATCTATTATATATATATTGATTATTTATAGTGTATTCGATTTCTTTGCCAATGGCATTAAAAACAATTAGCTATAAGACAACTAATAGTCTTACGTATTTTGATCGTTGAAAGTCAAATTAGGGATTCTCATTTCTACTGTTCTGTCCTCCACCAAAGTACAATAAATCAGCATCGTAATATTAGACAAAATTTTCATGCCTTGTCTTGCCGTCCATCAGGACAGAAAAAATTGTTTTGTGCTTATCTCTGTTAGGAACCCCATGAAAATATTTAATTTAGGTGTTGATAATTGCATTTTGACATTTCATTAATTCACCTTTTGTTTTATTGGATACTAACTTTTTGGAACTTTTCCTAGTTACATACCATGTAAACGAGTTAGCAAAGACTTTCAAACTTCATGAATCACTATTAAATTCATATGGTTCTGTTATCAATTCTAGGGGTACCAAGGTCCTTCTTTTGAAGGATTTGTCAATTGGGTTGTGGAAAGCATGTGTTGATAGATACTGTGGCAATTTGGACAACAATGTTTTGTTAAGAGCATTCATCGATTGGAGACTACAGGCTGCACGTGGATGTATGACCCTGGCCTGCATCATTACACCTTTCGCAGTTGGATATCTTTTGTATGTTGTCATCCAGAATAAGTTCGAACCGAGATGTCTCTGGATTAGCAAAGGCTTGTCTGGTTTATCATTCATATTTGGTCTCATAGGCATGGCAACAGGTATTAATTTCTTCACCTGTGGAACCCACTTCAAATTAAGTGCAAGCGGCATTGAAATGGGTGGAGTTGACTTAGCATTAGGTGCCGCTGCTCGAAATAGCATAATTGGCGTCGTTTTGAACTGCATAGGTGTGGTGGTTACTAGCATTATACAACCGAAGTAAATAAACATGGTAGAACATGTGACACATCTTATTTGACGACATATATTACTTCCTTTTCAAATTATAGCTAGAAAACAATAAAAGATTTCGTCATTTTGGGTGTGGGTTAGTGACGTATCCAGGAAGTCACGAGTGGGTGGGCAGTGCCTCATTGTCTTTAAAAGCTGTCTTCACAACAGTTTTAATTTTTTTTGGTCGAAGTCAATCCAGTTTCTCAATTTTCTAGTTCGTGAAAAATGAAATTAAACAATGTGTGTATTCTTTTATTAACCCTCAGATGTCCAAGCTAATTTTTAGAGATAATATGATAACATGTATTTGCATTCTATGATTTTGATTACCGGACCGGTACTCTTGCCAAAATTAGATTATTTTCCTCTTCAGTCTTATAAAGCAATTATTAGAATTATAGTTTTCCTTTATTTAGAACAGTTAATACAAAAAATTCGCTGAACAGAGTGCTCATCACAAACTGGTTCTGAACAATGATAACATTTATTTCGAACTTTTCTATCTTTGGAACGATTACAAAGCGAACATCATTGACGTTTTGAGTGTGTAAAGTTTTCACTTAATTCTTCTGATGGTTGCTTTATGACAGGATAACCGACAATGGCCAATGTATTTTGAATATCTTTATGTAAAAATTTAGAAGTTTTCGAGCGGTGATCAAGAAGATCAGCTGTTAGACTTTTCCCTAATTCTTCAAGGAATAAGCGACGTCTATGTGTTTTATTGTTATTCCAGTGAGGATTCTTTTTGTTCCATACGATCAGAGCATTTATAGCAGCAATGTCTATCCTACCATAAAAGACACATAGGGGCCATCGCTTTATGCTTCTTCTGACTGAGTATTGATGGCACATCTGACTGACAGTATCAACAGAACCTTTATTTTTGTTATATTCTAAAATGACGATTGGTTTCCCATCTTTCGAGTCCACTTCGTTATCATGATGTTTGGAAAAAAGCAACAAGACAGCTTTATTTCTTTTTGGAACATATGAAACCAGAGTTAGATTATCCTTAAAAGCAAACAATGAAGAACCGACTTGGCGACTTGTATTCGACAGAAATTCCATGGGAATTTCAGGCTTATTCTTTCTTAATGTTCCGATTAAAGTAAGTTTCTTAGTTTGTAGTTCTTTCGCTAATGGAATACCTGTGAAGAAATTATCCACTGTTACGTTCCTGTTAGAACCATACATTGGTTTCGTCAGCTATAAAACCACATTGGGACCTATCTCTTTTTGTTTTTTCTGGCCAGGTTGTCGTCCAATATAAGGAATTGCATCGAATACATAGCACGAATTGATATCGTCACACATCCAAAACTTTATTCCGTATTTATCGGACTTTTTTGGAATACACTGACGAAAAGGACATTTTCCTCGAAATCCCATCAAATGCTCATCAATGATAACATTAGGACCCGGCAAATGACATTTTATTAAGTTGTTTCGGAAATCTGACCAGATTTCACGAATTGCCGCAAATTTATATGTTTGCTTTCTTTCGTCTCTTGTTGCTTTATCATCGAATCTTAGACAGGAAGCAATCATTTCAAAGCGATTGCGAGACATGGTAGCCCTAAATATTGGAGATTCTAGTGGACTCATGCTCCATAAAGACCTGATGCTTTTTCTTGAGTTTCCTAATAAACCGGCTAGTATTAGAAGCCCAATGAAACCTTTCAATTCAATCATTGTTATTTCTTCAAATTTATCATCAGAAGTGCAATTTTCGTTTCCGTGAATATTTGTATATAGTAAAATTTTCTTTAACATTTGCTCCGATATAAAGCATAGAAATGAATCTTCAACAGAGGCTACATTCTTGGTAATTTCTGTGGGTTTAGATGTTTCAATTATATTAGTACAAAGCTTTGCATTTGGTGAATAAGACGGAGTAGAAGACCAAATCATACCGGATCTGGAACTATATGAACTTTGTTGAGTATATTTGTCATTTAAATTTAGTTGTTCTAAATCAATCTCTTCTTCATCTTCTGATGTTTGACTATCAGCATTTTCTGTTTCTGAGTCACTTTCTGTGAAAAGAAGACTATCTTCATCACTGACATCTTCAAACAAGTTGCCCTCCATAACAGTATATTTTGATATTGACGGAAACTACTGAGACTATCGCTTTATTCGTAACGTTTATCTCTGAAAAAATCACCATATGCAAACGTGTATTTTCTAATAAGTCACTTACTTGCAACTGACAATTCGATAGAAACTGAACAGAATGAATATCATAAGGACAAGGGTGAATATATATACATATACTAGAGATCCTGGGACAATAATAACCTTCTCGAAGGTTCTGGACAAAAAATATTGAAAATAGATCAGATGTGATGTCATCTACAAAAGAAATGAAAGAGAGAAAGGATATGCATACGATGTAAAGTAAACAGGAGAGAAAAAAGAGAAATGCACTAGAAAAGATCGAAAAGAGATAATGAAAATAGATGCCTGCCATCGATGAATATCAACAGAACGACAGAGAAGAAAGATGTATGATTGTTATATGGTACTGTTCACAATGACGCTGTGATAATAACAATACCAAAAGAAAAGAGAAAACATTCTCATGACCTGATTGAGAGAGATATATTTAAAAATAGTAAAACTACCGAGATATTTTTGCTAAATGTCTATTTCCTATTCTGGGGTCCATTTGGACCCCGCTTAGGCATCCGCGGGTTAAATAGAGTATTTGAACAAAAAGAGACAAAACTGAGAACAAATAAACAATTATTATTTCAGTAGTATTCGACTGTTCTTATATTGAATTGCGAAAGCATCAATTATGCTTTCATAATCCACAAAAATATCTTTTTCAATGACCAATAAAGACAAATCACTTAGTCTACTATCTGACATACTGTTACGTGCAGTTGTTTTAATGAACTTCATTTTGCTAAAAGTTCTTTCTGTTGTAGTAGATGATACTGGAATTCTCATAGAACCAATAAGAAGGGATAGAATAGTTGGAAAAGCTTGCTGAAATGGTAAAATTTCGAAATATAGATCAACTATATTCTTTGATTTTGATTGTTTTAACATTGATTTCAGTACTTGAATTTCGTTATTCAATAGTACAGTATCACAATCTAGCATCCAAGATAAAGCTTTTAATTTTTCTACCTCTAAAAATGTTGGATTATCAGGTGAGAGAGATGAAACATCACGAAGAATTTCCATATTTGTTATTGAAAAGCGATCATTCATTTCAAGAATAATTGAATCAATAGCTGAATAAAAAATAGAATTTCTAAATTTGCTTTTACTATCAATATTTTCACGTTCTCCTATAGTACTTAAAATTAAACAATTTTTTAATCTTGTAGATGTTGTTCTTAATCTTCTTTCTTCCAGTTTAACATCCAAATCAATACTATTATTAGCACAAAGTTCATTAATTTGATCAAATAGTTTTGAAAATTCTTCTTCACTTTTGAGTTCAGCAATTTGATGAATAACAGCGCTGATCAATGTATAGACATGTACCAATCCCGAGCACAGCTTCGAGTTTTCGAGTCAAACGTGGTAAGATTGAACTCGACTCGAACTCGATCCTGTAAACTTGAACTCGACTTGAACTCGAACCTCAAAGCTCGAACTCGACTCGAACTCGAGTTTAGAAGTTCGAATTCGAGTCGAGTTCGAGCTCACTAATTCATCCAAATCCAAATACTATTGAGCAATAAGATTGCAGGAAAGTTTATCTCTCTCATTGTTGTCACAAAACTAATTCTCATTGCTGTGACCATAAGTAGAGGAAACACTAATTCCTGGTCAGTTTGTTTGCACTCTAATTGATCAAAAACTCAAATTGTAGTTCTCGATCACAGAAACGATAATTACGAATTTCATACAAGCCCATAGAGGTTTTCGAGGCCAAGGAACTCGAGGCTGAGCTCCATCCGTCCAGACAACCCATAGTGGGAGGGGGTGGGAGTGCAGGGAGAGTAAAAACCAATAAAAATCGAGTTTTTAGGAAAACAGTTTCTTGAGAGTAATTCGGTGTGGAGAATTTGGATCTGGCCTTCATTGGCTCAGACACTCCCGACCAGAGCTGTCATATTCCACTTAGTATTAAGTAGTAAGCAGAATATAACATCTCTAGTTGTAAAAGTAACTATCTGAGATCTATCTGGAGGCCGCAAAGGTAACTATCTGAGGTTACCTATGGTAACTCTCTGAAGGCTATCCTAGGGTACCAAAGGTACTTTTTGGAGCTTATCTGTGGTTACCAAAGGTTACTATCTGAGATCGATGCCAGAGTACCAAAAGTACTATTTGAGACCAATTGTGAGGTGTCAAAAGCAATATTCTGAGAACTAGTTGGGGGTGCCTGAGATAACTATTTGAATGCTATCTAGAAGTACGAAAGGTAATATTGTGCCGCCTCTCGAGGGAAGAGGGGTACCAAAGGCACTATTGTAGGACTTATTTGAAAGTATCAACGGCAATATGTTGGGGTCGTATCTGAGGTCACGTGGGGTAACTATCTGAGAGCCACGTCATCGTACCATAGGCATATTCGGTGCCTCTCTTAGAGTAGGCAAAGTCATATTCTCGGATCAATCTAGCAGTACCAAAAGTAATATTCTGGGACCTAATCGACAGCGCATAAGATAACTACTTGAGGACTATTCAACGTACCCTAGGTACTATTCTTGGGCCTATCTGAGGGTATCAATCATAACTTTCTGGAGCATCTCTCTAGGTAGCAGAGGTAGGAAAGTACGGCTTAGCTGGGTGTACTGAAAGTAACTCTTTTCATCGCGTACTGGAACATCACTAGAAACTCTCAGACGACTATCGAGCCATGTTAGAGAAAACTTTTAGGCCAGTCTCCAGATAAAACATCTAACCTTGCGAGTAACGAGCGGAGCACATAAGTTACCGATGAAACGCTTTTCGGCCAGTTACTTGCTTAAAAAAGGATAGTTCTGAAAAGTCAGTCTTTGTAGTAGCAACTAGCGTTCTTTGAGTTACCTGTAGTGCTTCTAGATATCTTCACAAAACCTAAGTTTTGGTATCATAGGGTACTTCGGCAGACGTACATTCAAGACTCCAGGCGAGTGCTATCAGAGCTATCTTCTGTTGGTCTAATCAGTCCCAAACAGTTAACTTTGGTGTTCCCACATAAGTCTCAGAATATTATCTTTAGTGCGTCCAGAGAGGCCTTCGAATATTAGTAGCTTTGACAGCCTGATGTAGCCCTCACACAGTTACCTAAGATACCCTCAGTGAGATTTCAGAATATTATTTTTGGTACCCTAGGATAGACCCCAGAATATCACCTTAGGTACTTCCGCTAGTCCTCAGAATATTATTTTAGTACTTAAGTTAGACCCCGCAATTGTACCTTTAATATCTTCAGATAAACCTCAGAATATTACCTTTAATGCCATGAGATAGCGCGCAGAATACTGCTTTTAGTATCGCCGAATGAGTCCGAGAATTGTACCTTTATTCCTCCTAGATGCGTCCCACAATAGGACCTTTGATGCTCTGGCATAGTCCTCAGATAGTTAACCTGGATACCTTTAGATAGGCCCAAGATATTACCTTTCATACTCCCAGATAGACTTCAAATAGCTATCTCAGGCACCTCAACTAGTTCTCAGAATATTGCTTTTGATATCCCACAGTTGGTCCAAAAATAGTACTTTTTGTACTCTGGCATCGATCTCAGATAGTTACCTTTGGTAACCACAGATAGACCCCAAAATAGTAGCTTTGGTATCCTAGGAAAGCCTTCAGATAGTTACTATAGGTAACCTCAATCAGAGTGCAGACAAACTGACCAGGAATTAGTGTTTCCTCTACTTATGGTCACAGCAATGAGAATTAGTTTTGTGCCAACAATGAGAGATAAACTTTCCTGCAATCTTATTGCTCAACAGTATTTGGATTTGGATGAATTAGTGAGCTCGAACTCGACTCGAACTCGAACTTCTAAACTCGAGTTCGAGTCGAGTTCGAGTTCATATGTTGGAGTTCAAGTCGAGTTCGAGTTCATATGTTGGAGTTCGAGTCGAGTTCGAGTTTTGAGGTTCGAGTTCAAGTCGAGCTCGAGTTCGAGCTCGAGTCTAAACTTCGAGTCGAGCTTTAATAGTATCGAGTTCAAACGGTTTGGGATTGGTCCATGTCTACTATTGTTGTTAGTGATCAACATGGTTTTTAACATTATGTATATATTTGTCATTATTGATATTCATCAATAAGGATGAAATTGGATTTATACATGCGCATTTATTATTATTACTATACATTCAGTCGAAAGTACGGTAAGCAGTTTTGACGTTAGATTTGTCACCATCAGATAGTTCGGATTTATACACGACTTGCATATAGCCTAGGATAGTTTCGGATGCGGAAGTGATCATTATATACATGCCAAAAGAGAAACCTGACAATTGGTGGAGACGCCAGGCAGATGTCCTAAGTCAATTAGACTAGAAGATGCATCTACATCATCGTTTACCGTTCATGTGAGTCATGACGAACGCTAATACTATATAAAGAGCTGCGCCACGTTCTTGCGGTTATTTCATTTGAGAGTTAGGTATCAGTAAGTAGTATGAACAATAGATTTTTTTCCGGATTATTTGATGAAAAAAGACTATTTTTTAGTCTTTTTCCTTCTCAGTCCCTACTGTATAAAGGGCTGCGCCACATGCTTGTGGTCATTTGAATTGAGAGTTACGTATGCATAAGTGGTAGAAACAATAGATTTTTTGGGAGTGTTATTTGATGAAAGAAGAGCCTTTTTTAGTCTTTTTCTGTTTCACTCTCTATTGTATATAGGGATGCACCATCTGCTCGTGACCATTTCACGTGACAGACGGGTAGGAGTAATAAGGAGGAGTAATAATAATAAGGAGAAGCAATTGTTTTTTCCGAAGGATCATTTCATCAAAAAAAGAGTCTTTTAGTAGTCTTTTGTAGTCTAACCCCTTTCTATATAAAGATCTGCACCACCTGCTCGTGGTCATTTCAATTGAGATTCAGGTATGGGTAAGAAGTATGAATAATAGATATTTGAGGAGTATTATTTGATCGAAAAAGAGTCATTTTTAGTCTGTTTTAGTATTGTTTAGTTTGACCGTCTATAATTGAAAGGTGTGCACCACGTTCTCGTGGACATTTGAATTGAGATTCACGTATGGGTAACAGGTATGAATAATGGAGTTTTGAGTAGTATTATTTGGTCAAAAGAGTCTGTTTTAATCCTGTTGAGTCTCGCTTCTCTTCATATATAGAGCCACACGGTAAGACTTCCGGTATTGCGGTATACAAGGAACTACGAAAAAAGACGTTGAGCAGTCGATTCTTGTTCTAAAGAGCAGTCGTTGAAGTAGCTATTTTCATTGCGTTCCTATATGCTCAGTAAGTAATGGCCCTTCTTGAGTTTCATATATATTTAAAGAAGTTTTCCACAATGCTACATGTTATACGGAAACTGGTATGCCTGGCCCCTATGCTTTTTACGAAGCACCGTTCCTTAAAGAATATCCAGAAGTGTAGCCATGGACTAGAATGCAATCCACCTTATAAACTAAAATAGTTCTTTATGGTCTTTGCACATGCTCTTTTACAGGTTTCCTGTTATCAGACACATCTTCCGAAAAGTTCGAAAAAGCCTGAATCTGACCTATATTCAAAATTCTTCCCCGCTATGAAATCTCACAATACAAATATTCACATACCTAAAGGAGAAACTTTCGTTACTATTCCCTATCTTTAGGAGTATCCCAAAATCCTCACAAACTCACACAACCTCCACTACCCAATCTTATTACAACATTTTCGCACTGTTATCAGAAGCTGTGTCGCACGGGAAAAAGTCATAAAAAGGCCTCAATTTTCTTAGGATCGGCAGATTTTCCCACTTTTTGCCACTTCCATACCATGTATCGAGCAGCGGTAATGTTCTCCAAAGCCAAACGAAAACATCTATTTCTCTCCCATGAATAACTCCTACTTCCGTGTCTATCGAGTTATCCTCACACCACTTGCCACCGGAGACAACCAATATTTCAGACTTTCTCAGACTCACACAATCAAAGAAAAACAGTTTTTCAAACTTTTTCAATCCAACACCAAGACTTATTGAGACTTTTCCACACTGCTTTGAAACACACAAACTGACTCCTTCATATTTTTTCCGACTTTTTTGAAACAAAGAAACAAACTGATTCAGACAGTTTCAGACTTTTCCAATCACAGAAAAAGACTTATTGCGACTTTTTCAACAGTTGAAAAACACTTCCTGAGACCTCTATCACTGACAGGAAAACCCTTTTTCACACTTTTCGAGACTTTTGTGAAGCTCAGAATAGTCTCAGAAACTCTAAAAAACTCTTTTTCTCTGATTCACAACAGGTTCAATAGGTGTCCAACAGTCGCTTTCTATGATCTTAAAAAAGTACTCACTGCGTCTCAATGAGTCTTTTTCTGTGTTTTAAAAAAGTCTCAATCGGTCTCAATTAGTCTTTTTCTGTGAGTGAAGAAAGTTCGAAATAGTGTGAAACATGTTAGACGTTTCTTTTAGTAGTGGAGTAGCAGAACTCGTGTACGATGAGGTTAGGTCCGTTTACGGCGCCGTAAACGGCAGTATACGGCTGTTTCTGGGCGCCGTAATGCTTGTTCTGGGATATGCTCTCTCTATATACATTCGCATTAACATCTTCCGAACCTTAGTCGAGTATAATCGTAGAAAATATTAGATCAGTTTGATATAAATCGAGGATGTGGATAGATGTGCAGAGAATACATGTCAATAAGCAAACAAATACCCGCATTCTGAACATCAAATATTATTATGCAAGGCTTTCAATATGTCACTATTTAAAATTCATTCTGATTAATGGGATATTTAAAATTTATTTGTGAAATAGCAACAGTCTCTGGGTAAAAATGTGATAAATCAAATATTGTTAAAGGATGATTTTTTTGGACATTTAGAAGAGCTGGTTGAATGTATTCTTGTGGAGTGTTTTTAATTACCAAAAGACTTCTTTCTAAATAGTAAATTAGAGAAATATCTTTTAAAAATCAAACGTTTTGACCATAGAAATAATAAGAATGATAGAATAGTAAAAGATCCAAAAACCAAAAATAATCCACCCATTGATCGAATTTTCAGGGCAGACGATGTTTCAGATGAATCAGAACAAGTTTTTCTTTGAAACCATTTACGTCTTAACTCTTCGAGTTGACCTGATTCTTCCAATTGTAAAATGTTAACATCTAAATCGTTGCTATATAACCATTGTTTTCTAGTAACAATTCCATAATCTCCGTGATAAAAATCATCTCCAATCAATGTTAAATTACAATATATATTATTCGTAACATATTCGCCTGTAGCAGCATCTATGAAGGAAACATCGATAAGGCCTGCTAATAAACAATCGTACAAATCTTGAGCAGTTTGTAATGGATAAAAGTTTCGAACTCCTCTAGATATTGAATCTAAATAATAATCTTCAACGGATGTATTTATAGGAATACCAATACGGTGAAATGGGATTTTTCCACTTTTGATATCATCGATTCCCGAAATAATATACTTTGATTTTGCTATTGTTAAATCAGATGTTAAATTTGCAGTATATATTGCTAATAATACTATATTTAACATATATAAACCAGCAGTTAATAAGCGCCCAGCAGCTGTATTAACATTGAAATCAATACCATATCCAGCCATGTTACCAAAAGAATACCAAAGACTCATTAGAAATTGAGATAATGTGGATCGATTTTGTAATGCTTCATTATCTTGCCTTTCGATAAGAAAAAGTAAAAAAGCAGCATACATACATGTCCCAAAGATTAATAACCAGAGTTGATTTGAAAATGGTTTTAAAAATAATAAAAAATCAATATTAATATTAGGTGTTTTTCGAGTTATAATTCGTAAAGAATTATTAAATATTGAAGTAGAAAAAGCGACTAATTCTTTTCGTTTAGCGTTAATTCTTACATCACCAAAGACTATCTCATCTTTACCGTTCACTACATCTTCAATTAATCCCGCATAGGTTTGATTTAATGGTGCTATTTTGATACAGGCTTTAAATCCCATTTTTTTCTCTAAAAGTTCAATAAGATCAGGTATATAACCGATTGGCTTTGTGGAATCGTGTTCAGATTCGTTCATAAAATTGATTATCATTGTAAATGGCATTGATTCAAAAACAGTAATATTCAATGTTTTCTCTTTAAGCATTGCATGATCAGTTGGAATTTCTACTGAATTTCCTGGCCAAAAAATAGTATTTCTTTGTTGATTCGAAGTCCAATCATCAAAATTACCATATTCCAATACTGGAACAAAATGCAAATCATTTGAAAAAAATTGCAGATTTTGTAGATAATAATATGATCCATTGACTCGTTCGCTAAGATTATTTGAATTAAATTTTATAGTACCAGATACACCACGAAATTCTATTTGCTTCATTGTCTCTAATAATAATTCAGATTGGTTAAAACGACGATCAAAACAAAATGGAGATTCCAAAAATGACAAACATGGGGAAAAAAATGATGATGACGAAGAATTATTTTCGATTGTTGAACAAAGTTTTTGTAATGATTTAATTAATAACCATGTGGCGTCAAATGCAAATAAAGCAAAAGAATTTACGTTTGATAATCCAGGAAATGTTTCCGATTCATACTTTTGCCATATGTCATATGCAGTATATAGTAATGTTGTATTTACTGGAACATTAACACTAGTTCCGGTAACTGGTTCAATAGTTAATAATCCGATTAACTTTTCATAATCTGTTTTATTAAAAGAATCTAATGAAATCCTTGAACTTAATATCCATGTAAATTCGGGACCAACTGCATTAAACTGAAGAGCTTCGTTTAATACGTAACGTATATAATTTGATTGAACCCATGAAATAACAATTCGACTTTCACTCTCTAGTAAACTCTTTTTATAATCAACTTGAGTATGACGTGTCGCTGTATGAAATATGATCGAATATTGAACTGTTATATCATTTTCAATAAATTCTTCAGTTATTGCTTTGAAACCTCCAATTCCAAATGCATCATTTTGATAAATAATTATAGATGACGTCCAATTAAATCTTTTAAATAGTTTTACAAGTGCTTTAGCAGCTGTTTTATCTGATGGAACTGTACGATAAAAATTTGGATACAAACTTCGATCAGATAAATCAGGATCAGTTGCACCATATGATATAACAGGTATACCTATTCTTGCTGCAAATGGAGCTATTAAATGAGCTTCTCTTGAGAATACTGGACCAACAATACCAACAATATTTGAACTAGATAATACATTACATGTTTGACTAAGAGCATCGATTACGTTACCAACAGTTTGTACTGAATGCCCTCCGATTAATTTTCCTTCTACTGTCATATTATATTGTTGAGAAAGTATTATAGCTGATTTAAACATGGCTAGACTATGAACAGATATTTCAGAAGTTTCAGATGTATTCGTTGCATTTTCAAAAATGCCTAACAGTTTAATATTCGAAGAGTTTGATGACGGCCAAGTTGCTCTTACAAAATATTTTACGTTGAATTGTCCACATATAATGTATAACAACAACCATCGGAAATTCCAGAATAGCGACATTGTTAATTATTTGAGTTACAGATATAATGGTCGAAGCAAATGTTGAAGAAGATCAAAGTATACTAAAACTAAGACAGCATAAAACAATAATACGTATGGATTGAATTAAAATTTTTATGGATAGTTAATTGATTATCATAGACGGAAAATAGATCAAACGCAACATTTCATATTGAAGGTGGTGAATCCCTTAGGTTTGGAGCGGTTCAAATTTTTGCACATATATTTTACAGAGTTCTTTGGCAGTTTATGCTTTATTAGTGAGAACACTTTGAACAAGAATTGTGTCATATATTTCTGAAAGATATATTCAATCGAACATAAGATAGTTAATGTCTGCGAGTTTTTTTAAGCATCTTGATTTATTATTATTAATGCCTGATTAATAGACAAGAATAGTCAAATGATCGAACTTGCCTATGGAGCAAATGTGTCTTGGTCAAGGGGAAAAAAGTGAGACTTCACCGTACTTCACTTGTATTTCTACTTGTACTTCACTCATATTTCACTTTATTTCACTCCATTTCACTTGTACTTCACTCGAATTTCACTGTACTTCAAGCACAATTTTGAAGTACGAGCGAAGTACAGTGAAGTACGCGTGAAGTACTGAAGTCTCGCTTTTCTCCCTTGATCTTGGTCTATTATAAAAGTGTTTCTATGCTTCACTTTTATAAAAGGTATTTACCCAGTTAGTTGAGGAAACACATTCTGCCGTTGAAACGATCTTTAATGTTACATCGTTTAAACGATGATATATTGACCAAATTACGCGTTTGTCACAAAAAAGCGATTTTCTATGTCATAAAATAATATTATGTTCTTATCGTTTAAGCGCCGGATGTAAATGTCATAAATAGTGATTTGTTGACGTTAAAACCATAAATTTTCATTATATCGAAATCTTCTCAAGTTTTCGTTACTAATTCTAAAATTTAGTTTATTCTAATACCTATGGAGAAATATATATTGTTAGTTATAAAGTTGTAATTTATGATAATCTCGATGAATAATGAAAAACGAATCCAAATTACTTTATTAGTATCAGACATATGTATGTGGTTATGAAAGTTAGATTTTTAAAATGAATCAATGATTTGATATGACAAACAAAAAATTCTAGGTGAAAAATACCATAGATAAAAAGATGTCAATTTTTTGGTCTATTTTATCAAAAGAAAATATGGAACAGCTACACTATTGACGTACTTCTAAAATCTCTCTATTGTTGAGACTATTTTTTTCTCATTCTTTAATAGTCATCTGTCGTAGATAAAAAAAAATGTCTATTGGTACAAAAGTTAATAGAAAAGCTAAGATTTTTATTTGATTACTATAATCTTCATGACTTATGTATGTTTATAATATAGTTGTTCTTTTAAGATTTAAACTGAAAATGGAAAATATACTCAATATTACATACTTTTTATGATACAAGAGTTAAAAAACTAAGGTTTCTTCGCGTAAGAGTTTCACTCGACGATGAACTCAGTAAAATAACAAGTTCTATAATGAAATCATTAATGAAAATAATCTATTTAACATTTTTTTAAAATTAATTTACCAAAATCAGTCAGTTTGACTTTTGTTCTAACTAAGAATATTATCAAACACAAATAAATAGAAAGAAGAATATATATAAGAGTAAAATAATGTCTTCGTTTTTTACTCTATAGTTTTAAGCATTCCAATGTAAGGAGGAGTAAAATTGGTCCGTCTGCATTAAAATATTTAAAGCAATAGAATAGAAAAACAAAGACATTATTTTATTCTTATATATCTCCTTCTTCTGTCTATTTATCTATGTTTGATAATGTTCTTAGTTAGAACGAAACGTCATACTGATTGATTTTAATAAATCAGTTTTAAAAAATGTTAAATAGCTTAGTTTTATTAATGATTTCATTATAAAACGTAGTGCTAACAAATGACAAACAAGTTCTATATTATATAAATATTTTTTCTACGAATCATCGTATTTTATTAACTATCTCGATGGAATGTACAAGAAAGTTTTCCACAAATACTATCCTAAGAAAAAGCGAAAATAAACGCAGAACTTAAGGTGAAACAAAATCCTATACATCGCTCAATTCTGAAAACTTCTGTTACAGTTATCTGAGTCTTTTTGCTCATGTTTTCTAAGCTCGACCAATTGTTAACAAGAATCCTTATTCACAATTCGTATACAATAAATATGTGAATTTCTTCGTAGGTTGAATAGTATTTCAGATTAAATTCAGATATCATACATGTATCTTATCATTGTGTGCGTTCACATTGCTCACAGAAGCGATGTTTACTTATTGAGCAATCTTCATCGAATCAATGAATATGCTGAACGAATTTATTTTCTTTGTTTCCTTCTCTAACTTTATTCTTCTTTTCTTCCTCTTCTCTGATCTTTTTTCTTTTCTTCCCTTTTCTTTCCTATCTCTCCAATTTGATTAAGACTAACTATCAATTACTAAACATATGAGATCAGTTCCGTTTATGCTACATACATTTGTCGAATATATATTAACTAAAAGTATTACTCTCTTTTGATTTGGCTAGAGTTCCTAATTGGATTATGCATCTCATAATTAATAATGTTATATTGCTTATCATAAAACAAGTTTCAATTAGCTCATATACTGATGAGTTGGTAATTTGTAATGAAAACTCTAATGCAGCAATTTTATGTTTGAGAATATTACGAACTTATAATTTATCATATGTTTAGTGCTTCGAACATAATCGAAAAAGTAGGATTTCAATGTGAATATTCAGACTTTGAATCAACCAAAATCATTATGTATTTTTTCGATATTCTAATTTTTGCACCAACTCATGATTTTCATTCATATGATGTCAATGTTATACGGATTCTTACTTTAATCAAAGGAACATCTTTTTACAGAAATAAATCTACAGCGAATACTTTTTTGAATTAATTCAGCAGATCAAAAGATAAATGGAAGCTCCAAACGGACTAAATGTCTTTCACGCGTACTGTGAAACAATAAAAAACACAAATTCACAAGAATATAAATAATTATGGGAACCAGTCCCAAAAAGAAAGATTAATCTACTTTGAGCATTTACAGCTGTTTTCGTTGGAAAAGATGATCATAAACATTTCTCACTATCTTTTACGAAGAAGAAAATGACTTATATAAGCGTTTCAGATGCTACTTAATGTGAATAACGCTTGGAAATGCTAACTGAACGTAAAAACGGCAAGAAAAGTGATGATCACGTGTTTTTTTGCCGTTTATCACCGTTTCCGAACAGAATGGGTGATCATGACAGTTTAAACGGCATTTTCAGCATTTCACTTCTTACTGAGTAAGTGATAAGCGAACACTAATCTTTTAACACAAAACTATTTGCTAAACATTGTGAAATCACATCTTTTTCCACAATGAAAACAAAAAAACAGATGTATTTGCCAATAATCATACAGTTAGATTAAATATAATATTTATTAATTTAATTGATGGTATATCTTCTAAGTATTTAGTAGACTAATACGTTCAAATTTGGCATTTCTACGATCAAGTATGATACAACTACTTCTAAGTCACGCGACTATTTCGTATATTCATGGAGAAAAGTTAGATTGAATAGACTTAAATAGTATCTGCTCTTATGTTATTTTAAGAAAACCACAATAGAAATGTTTTTCTGATTGTGAATAGTATTTTTTTAGTTGTGTTTTTTATATTGATTTTATATTAACTTGAAGTTTTTATTTATGTGCTAGAAAAGTTACTTTTGTAGTAAAATTTTTGAAATGAGCAGGTATACAAATATTTTTAATAAAGTGAAAGCTATAAAACTAGGAATTTGTTCCTTTTTTAACCTGCTTCTCATCATCGCTCTGAAAAATAATTTGGGCCTCTCCCCGATTAAAATCGTTCCACCGCTTATATTTCATAGTACAATATATTCAGAACTGAAGATATTTGTAAAAGTTTCGAATATATCAAAATACGCCAGTTTTGAGAACAATAATAAAACTCACAAGGGATCAATTTGAATTCAGACTCATAAACAAGTCTTAATGAGATTAACAAAAGCAGTGAAGAGTTATGTTCATTTCGCGGTAGTTCCTGAAAAGACTAAATAACAATTGCGGTCCATAAGTTTGCTATTAGATATCTATATTGACTCTTAAAATTTCTTACAAGTTTCAGATAAAAGATTGTTACTTCCTCAAGTTATGGAACTTTCAAGTGAGCTTGATTTTTGTGACCACGAACAATTTTTTGAAATGTAATATCTCGACGAAAGAACATTGTTTTCGACTCGAAACACTAAGAATATCTCGAGAATTATTATATCTATCTATAGGCAAGATTTAAAATAGAAACTACATGATTTGTTTTTTCAGGAATTACCTATACAAAGCGTTTATAACTTCATATGTAATGTTCATGAAGGTGAATTCTTTCAGGCTTTTGCTAGTCTCACTTTCACCTCCTTTTCAATTTAATATAACTTAAGTGATATGAGTTATTTGAAAGAGTTTCTTTATAAATATGTTTTCAAATAGATATAGAAACGAGTAGGAAGTTCAAGAATGATTTCCGAATGGATCGAACAGCCTTCATTACCAGAGATGGGACCGGTTCGGTTAAAAACCGAACCGAACCGACCGACCGTAACCGAAATCGGTTCGATTCGAGATTTTTAAAAAATTCGGCCGGTTACGTTCGGTTCGGTTAGAAATGTTAAAAAATTCGGTCGGTTACGTTTGGTTCGGTTAGAAAGAATCGACAAAATCTTTTGATTTGAGTTCGATGGACTTTTTGAGACATAAGAAGAAAAAAGAGTGTAATCGTACAACAATTAGCTGTTGTTCGTAACTCGTATTATCTCACATGTTTTTTAAATTTGTTGTGAGAGGTAAGAAAGTTATAATACAGTAAGAGGATTCAATATATAATCTTTCTTCGTTACTTTCTCTACATGTTGATTGCTCATAGTTGC